TTTCTACTGAATATCAGAAATATGTCTGTTGTGTTCCTCAGAGGTGATGTGCAGCCTGTGTTTGTGATGTCTTCCTGCCCCAAGCAGTTTTATTCCAACATTAAGACACTCACCAGAAAAGAACATATGTTTTCCAAAGCATTAGTGCAAGAAGGTATTCTAGAGATTTTATAATAAACAAAACCCCTCATTTCTATGTAGAAACTAAAACAAAAATGACTGGATTAGTTGGTCACCTTAACTTGGTATTTAATAGCAACAAAATTAAATGGTTTGATTTGTGAGCTATAAGACTTTCAGTCCATTTAAGGAGAGAAGACGGACATTTTAATTACTATGAAATTACTCATAATCACAGAACAAATATTTTCTTACAATTTTGTAAATAATGCTGAGCCCTCTTTACCTCTCTGAGCCCCAGTCTTGTGATACCATTTTGCATGCAGACCACTCAGGCTGAAGAGCATTAAATTTAATTTGTGCAAAAGTTGAAGGTGGAAAGGCGTGAAATTAACTTGATGCGTTTTTATGGCATTTTCTCCCTCCTAGTTTCTCTGAGCTTTTCCAACTCGGACTGATTTGATTGGCTGTCAGAATCTCCCTGTCCTTGGAATTTCCCTTTTCTGTGTATGCGTAGCCCATCCTTAGTTAGCCCACAGGCAACCCAGCTGAAGGAAACACTGATTTATTTAGTTTTCTGTTTACTTTGGCTGAGCTTCAGTCTGGGCTCAAGGTTCAGTCTTCTTAGTGATTCATCTTTTTCTGTAGTATGTGTGTGTGAAACAGGCAAGATGAGTCAATTCATTCAAGAAATCAGTCAGCATGGTCCAAACAGTTAGCAAAGATTTTGAGAGAAAGCTAACCTTTTATAAAGCTACAGATTAAAGACCAATTTTCTAGTATTTGGTTGCTAGTGCAATACATATAAATTTGTAAGATTATTAAGGACACACTTCAGCTTCTGGGGATTAAGATAAAATATCTCATATTTTTACACAATTCTAAAAAAACCCAAAGAACAAGAGTTATTTAAGACAACTGTTTAGAAAGAGAAAGGTAGATTGAAATGAGATTGTGAGACACCGACTCTAGATTTCATTTAGTGATCAATTCTTAACTGTTATTAAGAATGCTTGATTCCAGCAGTATAGGCATTCTGGTCATTATTAAAAAATCTCCCAGGACACTACTATCAATTCTGTTCATCTTTTGATACACACATTCAAATAATAATATTCAACTAATATGAGATTTGAGAGTTTTGTCAGGATAATTTTACAGAGATATATTTGCAACATTGAAGAAAGATCATAAAACCAAAAATAAAATATGTAAACACTGTGAAAGGAGGATGCTGTGTTATTCCATTACATCAGCCATCATTTAAAGGTAATTGCCAGTGTCTGTTCTGTGCATGTTTACAGAATTTAACATGTAATGACTTTAAGGCACCTGTTAAAATTTCTCCTGCTCATTTCCAGCATCTAGTACCCTTTCCAGCATCGGCCAGTTTCTGTAAAAGAAAATCTCCTACTACACAACAGATTTTATCTCTTTTTCAAGAGAAAATAAGAAATCTCTTGCTTTAAATATGACTTGTACTCTACCAGTTCTGTGTTCCACACATGGGCAAGTCTATGGGTGGTGGGCTCTGGTGGTGCAGGATTCATGTCTCCATATTTGATGGATAAAGTCTGATTTTAAAAACTGGGGCAACCCTCACCAGGGTATTAGTGTCATATTTCTTAGTTGATGAGAAGCCTTTGAAAGATAGCACATGAGGATGTGACACTTGACCTTCAATGTCATTCTAAGTAAAGGGTAGATTGACAAGGCTCATTCACCTTAGGAGGCAGGGGGGCTCATTTCACAGAATAATTCTTAGTTCTCTAATTTGGTTACTTCCTAAATCAAAGAAATGATAGAGATCTAACAAAGATCAATTATGAACCAAGGTTCAAAATCCACGGAGCACTTTCAGTGTGGTGAAGATGAGAAAATGTGCCATTCCAATAAATTTGGAAGACGTATAAAAATATCAGTGTGCATGATAATAGCAGATGTAGACATTTTCTGCCTTTGAAAGAATGTATTTTCATATTTAATTTTCTCTATCCAATCCCTAAAATGTAAACTTCTTGGAGGCAGGGATTTCCTATTCTTGTTACCATTCAAGACCCAGCACAGAGTAGAACTAAGTAAATGCTGGAGGACTCTGCATAACTGGCATGCTGGTCACAGATATCTTCCTAATTTACATGTCATCTTCATCCACATGTTCATGTGGTGCTTTTCTGCCTTGTCAGATGAATGATATGGGATCATTTATGACATTCTGAGAAGACACAAACAAAAAATGTCATGGCAAAACTCCCTGAATACTGGTTCTATATTTTCCAAATAATGTGTACAAAAATAATCTTCCTATTGGCCATTCTTCAGATCTCCTACTAAATTAACAATGGAAACTGATAAGACTCTTGCTACATTATTAATTCATCAAAGAGCATTCTTTTAATTTTTGTCACAAGAGATGTTTTCTTCAAGAACAAGGATGCAGAACCCATGAGATAGCTCGGTGGGTAAAAGCTGTAGTTGTGCAAGGCTGATGACCCAACTTTGGTCCCTGGAACACACACATGCACACACACAAATGCTGGATGTGGTGGCACATACCTATAATCCCAGCACTCCTATGGTGACAAAAGAAGTAGAGTGAGGGAGAAGATCTGCCCAGAAGCTCCGAGGCCAGCTAGCATAGAGTACAAAGCACGGCAGAAACAGCAAAACAGATCCAACATCAACAATGTGGAAAGAGATAACCAACTGCCAAGAGTTGTCCTCTGACCACATGTGCATCATGGCATGCATGTGCCTGTATTCCCTCACATACATCACACACACACACACACACACACACACACACACACACACACAATAATAAATTTAAAAATTTAAAGAGAAGAATAATGGCCCAGCACTGTGGCACTTGACTTTAATATCAGCATTCAGGAGGTAGAGACAGGTGGATTGTGGTCAGCCTAGTCTACATAGTGAATTCCAGGCCATCTGGGGCTACAGGGAGACCCTGTCTCAAAAACAAACAAACAAAAAAACAACAAAAAACAAACAAACAAACAAAAACCACCACTGCCAACAATAATAACAAAACAATAAAAACTATCAAATCTCTGGTTCCTGTTCCTAATCTTTATTTGGCTTACTATATTTTACCTTGAGTACCACTGAACATGACCAGGAAAAAGTCCCAAACTTTCAAACTCAATCAGCTTTTAATGGGGTACTGAAGGCAAAGAAAGATCACAAAGAGTACTTCCAGGCTCTGCTGGTGAGGAGCAAAGTCAGTAAACAGGAACAAGCTCAAAGATACAGAAATTCCAAAGAAGGTCACTAGCCCCCATGACACGACCACAGAGAGAGACTGCAGGTTAATGCACTGACAAGATGTGCAATAGAGAAGCAGATTGTGGAAAGAAAGCCGGCACTACCGGCGTACACCGTTCCCTTTACTCAGTCCCGCTAAACAGGGACCTTCTGGGAGGTCTCTGCCTTCTGAGAGCCTCTTTCTCTGTTTTGCTTTCTCGGAATTTTCTTGCTTCTGTACCTCACCTGTCATGTTCATCTAAGATTTTTCTCTCATCCCTCTGTACCCCAACCCCTGAAAAATCCATTCTTAAACTTTTGGTCTTCATAATGCTAATTATGACTAAGTGTCTCCTTCTATCCTTGTTTTTCTTTTCACAATTCCTTGTTTACTTCCATTAATCACACAC